GAAGAACACCTTTCCGATTAACGAGTGAAGGGAGTTTCTGATGAATGGCTTGATTTAAACGTTCCAATTGCTGACTATAGATCTCTTCATTGACAGTTCGCTGTGGATTGAGGAGTTCGAAATGAATTACTCCTTTGATGTCCCACCAAATGCGAAGCATCCCTTTCTGCGGATGGAGTCCAGGTTTTGGGGTCGGAAGTAGTTTTTATCTAAGACTGAGCCATTGTTTTTGGCGTTTAATATTCGCACAGAGAATCCATTTTTCATCACCGGTGACAATTCTGTCCAAAAATGGTTCACGCGTATTACGTGCCAGAAGAGACGAAGCAACGTTCACACGTTGGAAACGATAATCATTGGAGAGTTCGTGAGGCATCCAAACACTTTCTTTATGGATTTTTCCCATATTCCTTAGATGTTTACGTATTATTTCATGTGAGACATGCAATTTAAGGGCCATTTCACGAGTGTGTTGCCTTGGGTTAGACTCAACAAGCGTCTTCAGAACATCAATATCAATTCCAACATGTCGGCCTCTGCATCACAGTTTTTAAGGCTAAAGGCACCTGAACGAAATTTGCTGAATCATCATTGACTTACGAACGTTCAAAACATTTCCATAAACTTCTTTGATATTCTTTGTGGCCACAGAGGCGTTGTTTACCTTATTGTATTCAAACAGCATTACATGCCGAATGTGTGTCTCGTCGTGTGCCATCACTATAAGGGATTAGAGTATACTAAACTTTACACACTACATAGGCTAGACTAACGTGACGTTTAAGCGGTTCGCTTAACTATCATACGTGATGTACGTTTTTTGGGGGGTGGGGGGGTGGGGGATTAATGAAAATGTTCCAAAATGCGACATTAATTTCTTGACGACCTAAGATACGAAAAACATAGTAACAGATACTAAAGTGTTAATTTTGCAATTTTTATGATGGGAGAATAAACCAAAATAACTTAGATTTTTTTTTTTTTTATAGATAGGAGTTTTAAGAATTCGCGGTAAAATATGAAAAATACATTC